TGTGGGCGGGGGGCTGGGCCCGGTGCGGAGGCCAGAGGAGAAGGACGGGGGCGCGCTCGGGGACAGCCCCTGCTCCGCCCTGCCGTCCCGCCGCGCCTTCTGTCGCTGCCTGGACCTGGGGCGTCCGGTGCCATCCCTGGGGCTGGAGATGGGGACTTTGAGCCCCGAGCCGGTGCCCGGGGGTCTGCGGCAGGTGGAGCCTGTGGTTTTGGAAGCGCGGCAAACGCCTGCGTGAGGACCGGTAGCGCTGGGCCTCGCCTCGGACCCCGGGGCTCTTAGAGTGGCTGGGCTGGGAAAGGACTCCGTGGAGAAGGGCGGGTCAGAGCCTGTCGTCCAGCCGCTCTTCTCCGTGGAGAAGAGGCCGCAGCCTGAGTCCCCCTCCTGAGGGACTGTCAGCCCGAGGTCACAGCTCTTCCCGTCTGTCTTTGCGGTAGCTTTGCAGAGCGGTCAGGAGGGCTGCGTGCGGCTGCTGGGCTGTAGTTGCATCCAGATTCCTGCGAGGCTGGGTGGCCACGGTCACGGGTGGACACCCCTGAGCCTCTGGGTATCACCCTGGTCCCATCCTGTGGGGTGGCTGTGCGGACTCGAGGGTGACAGGAGCCTGATCACGTGGCCCATGGGAGTGTTCGGCCACCGCACTGTAATTACTTCCCCATCCTGTCGCCCTGAGCAGCCTCAGTAAATCCAGCTTGCATCCCCCCTAAGGCAGCCACAGCTGGGCTGCAGGGTTTGAACGCTGTTTGGTGAGCTCTTGCCACATTCCCCTTTCTGCCCTGGGTTACATTGGCTCTTTGTCTCCGCAGCTGTGCCACGACCGCGGCTACCTGGTGACCCAGGACGAGCTGGACCAGACGCTGGAGGAGTTCAAAGCCCAGTTTGGGGACAAGCCGAGTGAAGGGCGGCCACGGCGCACAGATCTCACTGTGCTGGTAGCCCACAACGACGACCCCACTGACCAGATGTTCGTCTTCTTCCCAGGTGAGAGCCCTTGGGGTCACGGTTCTGATGGGGTCACCTGAGCGTCCACTCCAGTGCCAGCCGTAGTACCCGCCTTCTCCTTCTGCCCAGCCCAGGAGGAAAGCTCCCCTCCCCCTCCTCGCTGTGGTCGATGCTGTTGACCTCTGAGCCCTCCGCTGGCTGGCGTCTTTTCCAGTTTCCTTCTCCTTGGTCTCCTCTCTTCCTTGTCCGTGTTGTCTGACCTGGAGGAAGATGCGTAGCTTCCCACTAGACCCCCAGCCCTCAGTACCTCAGTTCTACCGATGTTTTCCTCGCTCCCCCAGCCTGGCCTGCGGGTGCAGGTCCAGTTTCTGGGCCCTGGCCATCAGTCCAGCTTCACCACTCTCCTTCCCCGTGACTCCCTCCTCAGCTGGACCATGGCCCCTGCCCTGTCCCTGCGATCCCACACCACACCTCCCACCTCATCATTTCTCGAGACCCAGCAGGGCTGCCTCCCCAGCCACACTCTCTCAAATCCTTCAAAGTGGGGGCTGTGTCGGGAGCACCGTATGGATCCCACCCAGGGCCTAGAATCAAGGGCTGGGCAGGAAAGTTTGCTGGGCAGACCCAAGTAGCACTTTGTAAAGGAAGCGTCTCCTGTGTATGGAGAGTTTGGTGTCTAATCATCCACCACCCATGGAGCCATCTCATGACCCCCCCCCGAACCTGCCTGGGGGTCGAAGGTTGGGTACCTCCTTCACTTCCTGGGCTCTGGATGACTAGGTGTGTCATTCCTCTGGGATGTGACACAGGACAGGATTGAGGTTTCTGTCTGTATTTATCAGTTCAGGCTGCTATAAGAATGGGCAGCTTAAACAGCAGATTTATTTCTTAGTTGTGGAAGTCTGACATCGAGGTGCCGGCACAGCTGGTTCCTCCTGAGGCCTCTCATTGGCGTATAGACACTGTCTTCTCTCTTTATTCTCACGTGATCATTCTTGTATGTGTGTGTCTCTGTCCTAATTTTCTCTTTTTATGGTGACACCAGTCCTATGGGCTAGGGTCCAACCTAGTGAGTTTATTTTATCTGAATTACCTTTAAGACTCCACAGTCACATTCTGATGTGGTGACAGTTATGACTTTAGCACGTATGGGGTATGGGGACAACATCCAGCCCAGACCCTGCCCATGGGTGGGCAGAGGCTCTGAGGGGAGCGTGGTCACTGAGCAGATGTGCTGTGTACACAGCGCAGCCTGGAGTCTTGGCAGCAGTGCCTGGTTCCTCACCTCCTAGGTTGCTGGGTCTAGGCACCCTGCCCTATGTGCTGCCCAGTATGTGAGGATCCTTAGCCCTAGCAGTGTAGGAGAGGGTGGGCTATCTCCCTGGTGGGATGGTATTTCCCCGGGTCCACCACCTTCATCTCGCCATGTTGAGCATCTCGGCCTCTCAAGACTAAATGAACCAATTGATCTGGTGTCTCCCAGACGTCAGAACTGCCTGGGGCCCCCGACCATACCCAGATTCCCAGACCCACCTCCAAAAGCGACACACTAAGCCAGGTGGGCTTAGGGTGCCCTTCAGCTCCCCAGTCCTGAGAAGCCCCTTCTCAGGTCTTGTTCTGCAGACAGGGAAACTGAGGCCCCAGAGAGGGAAGCGGCCAGGATCCAGGTGCCCTGGGGGGGGAGGGGGGCGTGGCATGTGTGGGGACGAGCAGGGCCCCAGGCACACTGGCCACCATCTGCTCTGTCTGCAGAGGAGCCCAAGGTGGGCATCAAGACCATCAAGGTGTACTGCCAGCGGATGCAGGAGGAGAACATCACGCGGGCACTTATCGTGGTGCAGCAGGGCATGACGCCCTCCGCCAAGCAGGTAGTACCCAGCCCGGCACCCGGCCCGGGCCCAGCTCCCATGCAGGAAGCGGCATGTGTCTGCAGCGAGCCTGACCGCTTCCCATCCTGCCTCTGCCTGCACACCCCACTTCCCCTTGCTGCCGCCTCCCCTGGGGCCCCAGCCAGTCGGTTTTCACCTGGGCAACCCTAGTCCCGGGTGGGCACTGCACCCCTCAGCTCTGAGGTAGCTTCAGGGACTTGGAGACTCTGAGGAGGTGCCTGCCGGCCCCTGAGCTGTCATCCTGCCTGGACAGGGATGTGCATGTCACTCCTGCTTGGTGGGGGGACGAGCTGTGATATGGGGACCCCTGGGGGACCTGTTGGGCAGAACCAAGCCCAGGGTAGCCGTTTGGGAGGGAGAGCGGGTAAGTACTTTCCCCTGCCCACCTGGGTGGGGGACGTGGCCAGCTCTGGCTTAGCCTCTGGGAGCAGGTTGGCAGATCAGAACATGCTGGGCCCTTAGTGGAGCAGACCTTTCAATGTGGAGAAACATGGCAGGCAGGGGTGGGGTTTTCTCTGCTTTATGACATAGGATTCTCACTGGGGCACAAGAGGAGAGTACATTTAGCATCAGCCTGGCTTCTCTTCCAGTCTCTGATTGACATGGCTCCCAAGTACATCCTGGAGCAGTTTCTGCAGCAGGAGCTGCTCATCAACATCACTGAGCACGAGGTGGGTGCCTGGGCTCTGGGGGCCGTGCACAGGGGCACTGGGCTGGGCCAGTGACAGTCATAGGGGTACCTGCCTGTTTGGGGCCAGCAGAGGTGCAGGGTTTGCAGGTCCTGAGGCTGGCCCTCCCATCCCTGCGGTGGGGAGCTTTGGTGAGGAAAGTGGAATGAGGGTTCTCAAAGTAGGGCCCCCAGGCCTGTAGCAGCAGCAGCGTCACCCAGGAACTTGTTAGCAGTGCAGATTTCCAGGTTCCACCCTGGCCTGCAGACTAAGGGAGGGAGAGGGACCTGTGTTTTCCGACAGCCTCAGTACTGCCAACGGGGTAGAAAACACTGATGAGGAGGTGTGTCTGGTTTGTGCCTCCAGGCTGGTGACTATGGGCACCAGGCTCCCCACCCACGGTGGAGTCAGGGTGGGGTGGGTTCAACCAAGGAGTTGTGCAGACGCTCTCTAGCACCTGGGTTGATGGTTCATGCCGCAGCCACCCTGCTCTGCCAGCCCGCCCTTTCTCCATCTTGAGGCATGGCAGGGGTCTGTGGTGGCCATCCTGAGAACACTGGGACTGGGGTCTTTCACGGCCCCTGGCAACAACTGGCAGGTTCCTCTTTTTCAGCTGGTCCCAGAGCACGTGGTCATGACCAAGGAGGAGGTGACGGAGCTGTTGGCCCGATAGTATCCTTCCCTGTTCCTCCTTCCCCGTCCCTCCCCCTGGCCCTTTGGGCTTCTCGTACCCTGTCCCCAACTCCTAGACAGCCCAGCCTGGTGTTTTCCCTGACTGCTTCCCAGTAAACTTCGGGAGAACCAGCTGCCCAGGATCCAGGCGGGAGACCCCGTGGCGCGCTACTTTGGGATCAAACGAGGGCAGGTATGGGAGGCTCCTCTCCAGAGAAGGGCGGTTTTGCAGCTGCTCTGCGCAGCCTCCCTCAGGCAGGGGCCTGGAATGACCCTTGGGACCACACCCCAAGCCAGGGCCACCAAGGCCCGGAGAAAAGTGTGACCCCCAGGGTTCTTGGGGCATTGGCATTCTGGGGCTGCCTGCCCTGCTGAGCCTCTGCTAGCCCTGCAGCTCCTGCTTTCCTGTGTCTGCAGGTGGTCAAGATCATCCGGCCCAGCGAGACAGCAGGCAGATACATCACCTACCGGCTGGTGCAATAGCTGCCGCACCCACAGGTAAGACAGCAGGAGAGCCGTGCCCGCCGCCGGGGTGGGTGTCAGAACTGCGGTGTCTGCCTCTTCCTGTCGGTGTTTGGGAAGGTTCTAGCTCTGTCCTGGGATGAGCCCTGAGTGGGCATCTGGGGAGGGGCTGGCCCCAGTCTTGGGAGCTGGGAGGACAACATCTGTGCTGGAGTGACCCTCTTGGCTTCCCTGCGTCCCCCCACATCGACGCCCTGAGGTGCTGGCCCAGCAGGCTGTCCCCGTGCTTAGACTAGGCCTGTCGCTGGTTCTGCCTGATGGTTCTGGCCTAGTTCTGCAAGGTCAGGGCCACTGCCTATGCCTGTGTGACTCCCAGACAGGAGTGAGCAGCTAGTGCCACTCCCCTGCCCCCCCCGTACCCCCAGCCATCCTCCACACTAGGTGGGCATGGGTCTCCTGTCCAGCCTGGGTCTGCCCAGCCCATGTGACTGCCCTCCTTCCTCTTGCTCAGTCCCTGGAGACGGACTGACAGACAGTGGCCACCATCTGCATCCTGCCCTGCGGGAATCCAGTCCTCTCCTGAAGCTTCCTGTGCTGGCCCTGGTACTCCCCAGGGCAGGCAGCTGCTGTCGCGGTCCACCTTCCCTGCGTGAGGGTTCACCTGTGGATCCACGAGGGGTGGGTCCTCAGGAAGGACAAGACCCCAGACAGAGGGCCTGGCTGAGGGCAGCAGGCGTCACATCCTGAGCCTTTGCTCAGCCCGGCACTGGCTCCACCACAGGCGGGAGCTTAGGGGCCGCGCCTCCCACTAGCCGCTGCCTCCTCCTCCTGGAGTCTCAGCCACCCAGCACCTCATCCTCCCTTGAGGCGTCCCGACGCACAGCCCACGTCACCTGCCTCCACGTCACCCCTGCCTCTGGACCGTGAGCACTCTGCAGTCAGCCAGATGCCAGGTCATGGCTCCTGTGGGGTTTTCAGGTGCCACAGAATCTTGGATATTCTCAAAGACTAAAGATATTTTGAGTAAATAAATTTGTCTCAAAAACCACTGGTGAGTAACAAGGTATTGGGTGGGTGGCCTTGCTCTGAGCATGCAGGGTCAGCTCAGCGACACCCATGTCATGCTGTCTGGTTTACACCCATGTGGGGCTCCACTTCTATGTCCAAACGTGCCCTCAAGTGTGAGCGTGGGTCACCCTCCCCTCGCACGCAGTGCCTGTGTGCAGGAGTCATTTCCCCTGCACATGCAACAAAGAAGCAGCTTCGGATCACACTGTTTTACCCCCTTCATGTCTGATTTCAGAAGGCCTTGCTGACCCAGGTTAAAAGCAGTTGTTTGTATTTTTCCCTCCTTTAATTATAGTTTTATTGTATAATTCACATACCGTACAATTCATCCTTGTACAGCTCAGTGTTTTTAGTACTTTCACAGTGTTGTGCGACCATCTCTTCTAGTTCCAGAACATTCTCATCACCCCAAGAGGAAACCCCATCCCCATCAGTAGTCACTCCCTGCCCCCTCCCCAGCTCCTGGCAACCATGAATCCAACTGTCTCTGTGGATTGGCCTGTTCTGGACATTTCATATAAATGGAGTCACACACTGTGTGGCCTTTTGTGTCTGGCATCTGTCACTGTGTGTGATGTGTTCAAGTTTCGTCCCCGTGTAGCATTTGTCAAAGCCTTGTTCCTTTTCTTTCTTTTTTTTTTTTTTTTTTAAAGATGACCGGTAAGGGGATCTTAACCCTTGACTTGGTGTTGTCAGCACCACGCTCACCCAGTGAGCAAACCGGCCATCCCTATATGGGATCCGAACCCGGGGCCTTGGTGTCATCAGCATCGCACTCTCCCGAGTGAGCCACGGGCCGGCCCGCCTTGTTCCTGTTCACGGCTGAGTCATGTTCCACTGTGTGGATGGGCCACACTGTGTTTGTCCATTCATCTGTGGACGGACACTTGGGTTGTTCCCCCTTTTGGCTGTTGTGAATCACACTGCTGTGGACACATGTGTACTCTTCTCTTGGTGTACACCCAGGAGTGGAATTGCTGGGCTATCGATTTTTAGCCTTTTTAGGAACTGCCAGACTGTCACATGGTGTCTACCCCGTCATACCTCCCCACCTCCCTACACAAAGGCTTCGATTTCTGCACATCCTCACCAGCACTGTCCTACGTCTTTTCTATTGTAGCCGTCCTCATAGGTGTGAAGTGGTGTCTCATGGCTTTACTTTTCCGTGATGGCTAATGATGTCGAACATCTTTTTATGTGCTCGTTGGCCAGTTTAGTATCATCTTTGGAGAAATGTCTGTGCAGATGCTTGGCCCATTATTTAATTGGGTTATTTGTCTTTTTAGCGGCTGACCAGTTAGCTCAGTTGATTAGGGTGCGGTATTGATAGATAACACCAAGGTCAAATGTTCGGATCCCTCTACCAGGCAGCAGCCTCCAAATAAAAAAAAGGTTTAAAGGGTTGTCTTTTTATTATTATTATTATTTTTTTTTCCTTTTTGTCTTTTTTCGTGACCGGCAACGGATCGCAACCCTCAGTGTCGCACCTGCACTGGGCCGGGACCGGCAACGGGATCGCAATCCTCGGCGTCGTGCCTGCACCTCGCTCAGCCAGTGAGCAGCTGGTCTGTATGTGGGATCCGAACCCTCGGCGGGAGCGCCACCACGCTTCCCAAGCGGAGCACTGTAGCAGTGCGCCACCGGGCCGGCCCGTCTTTTTATTATTGAATTGTAGGAATTCTTTGTATATTCTAGATACAAGTCCCTTACCACACACATGATTTGCAAAAACTTTCTTCACTTTTTTTATGTTTCCTAAGTATCCATTAATAGTTTCAGTGTTTGCAAGTAGGTCTTCGGTCCATCTAGAATTTATTTCTGGACATCATACAGCATAGGGATGTAGCCTTTTCTTCCCCAGACAGACAGTGGTCTGGACGCTTTATTGGAGGCAGATCCTTTCCAGGCCACCCTGAAGTGCCATTCACATGTAACTCAGACACACAGAGATCTGTTTCAGGATTCCCTCTGCCTTTCCAATGATCAGTTGAAGTTTTTTGAATTATAGTTGTATAGTATGTCTAATAGGTAAAACAAGTCCCCCCTTTTTCTCCAGATATACTTACATAGATTCTTAAAATTGTCTTGACAAAGGGCTAGCCTGTGGCTCACTTGGGAGAGCGTGGTGCTAACAACACCAGGTCAAGGGTTAAGATCCCCTTACCGGTCATCTTTATTATTTTTTTTAAATTATTTTATTTTATTTATTTATTTAATCTATCTATTTAATTAATTAATTAATTTTTTTTTTTTTAATTTAAAGATGACCGGTAAGGGGATCTCAACCCTTGGCTTGGTGTTGTCAGCACCACGCTCACCCAGTGAGCAAACCGGCCATCCCTATATGGGATCCGAACCCATGGCCTTGGTGTTATCCGCACCACACTCTCCCGAGTGAGCCACAGACCGGCCCTTACCGGTCATCTTTAAAAAAAAAAAAAGAAATTGACTAAAATAATACAGCCTTCACAGAAGAATAAACACTGTGAGTCTACTCATAGGAGGTCCCTAGAGTCATCAGATCTGGAGAGAAAGTAGAATGGGGGGTGCTAGGGGCTGGGGAGCGGGCTGGGGAGTGAGTGTTTAATGGGGACAGAGTTTCAGTTTGGGACACTGAGAAAGTTCTGGAGATGATGGTGGTGATGTTTGCATAACAATGTGAATGTGCTTAGTGCCACGGAGCTGTGCACTTACACGTGGTTAAGATGTAAGTATGTATATTTTACCACATTGAAAAAATCATCTTGGCTATTGTTGAGTATTGGCCCTTGGGAAGGAATTCTAGAGTCAGTGCTGGTGATGTCTGTGA